ATTCCATTCCAATTTAATATTTTCAATATTAATTTCTTTAAAATTTATGTGTTGTAATTTATCTTTGAAGAAATTAAAAAGTTTGGTAATTTTTTCGAACTATAGAACATTTATTTTAATTTAAATATATGGAAACCAAGTAGTTTGATTACCTACAGATACTTTTTGCAGTACAATTTACGTATTTTTTTCTAATTCTAACATATATAAAACAAATATACAGAAATATCTATATCCATAGAAGCATCAAAATACATAAATATAAATAATCAATCACTATCATACTGAACAAAAACAATAAACGCCTATAGAATACTTTAACCAGACATAAGGTAGATACGTAATCTGGCAACATTGATCTAATACATCAAACGAACACCTCAGAAGAACAACTGCCACAATAAGTTATGAAGAATGTCCCATCAATTAGATATGAAGGCAACTCGCTAATTATCTGTAGTGGCCCCTAAAAACTCTATATCCCATTAGGGAAGTTACCTTCCCGAATCTCAATTACGCGTCACGTGATATTAGTCCCAAGGAAAAGGTAAACAAAGAAATAACACTGTCGTGTCACAAAGCCTTAAACGACCTCATCATCCAGCTTTGTTAGCTGACCTTGTTTAACCTATTTATATGAAATATGCGAACGATATTTATTTATGGTTTGTTTTCGCATATTGTTTTTATGAACAAGTATGCGGATAAATATCGTTGCCGGATTATAGATTCAGAAATAGAATTACACGATCAGCATTCTCAAATAGAATTTGTATCATTTTTATTGTATTTTTCGTATTTTTACAGTACATATGGCAGCTTAAGTGAAATATCAGGATTTAAATAATTTACCATTTAATCATTACGATACTGACGCTGCTTCTTGTAAATCATTTCTCAACTTAGCAGCGAAAACTTATACTTATCCCACATGCTTAATATGTTCTTTCAAGTCAAATATATAGATATCTTCTGTATAAAAAAGGCAGATAACTTTGCACCATTGTATTGTAAAATTTCATAAGAGTTGATCCCATACCTATGTTTAGCACTTAGTATAAATAAAAAACTATCTTTACAGTCCTAACGGACATCAATATGAATATATTCAGTACTATCATTAACCCTACACTATATAAAAGATTTAGAAGGTGTGCCCCGAGAAGGGAATATGATCCAAGCACAAATTGATTGAGAGCGACATTTGATATAAAATTGTGTTGTGATTGATGTGGAGCCCGCACTCGCTCGCTAAGTGCTGTACCGTTGTGTCGCTCAATACATGTCGCTAAGTATCACATAATATATATGTATACTACTGATACTAGGAAAATATTAATATCAATACTGTTACGTAGACTATGGAAAACGCTTGTATTATTGGTGTTCATATATCTTCATTTCTAAATTGATATAAATTAATATATTTTATGGTATCGTGTGACGATATAAAACTATTAATTTTTATATCTAAATGAATATGAAATGTTTAAAGCGTGTTATTTTTATTGATACAATCAAATTACATTGGTTAATATTTATAAAAAATAACTAAATTGATAACAATATATATATATATATATATATATATATATATATATATATATATATATATATATATATATATATATACGTTATTCTCACTTTTCATAGAATATTTCCTTAAAAATTGAAGCATATGTAAATCCCGGTGTATTCCTAACCGGCAACTTTCGGTGTGTTGAATACACGAACTTATAGATCCCTCGTAAGGTGAAAAATTTGTATATTTAAATATTTGTAATGCTTTTGAACAGAAATGTAAAATGTACCAAAATATAATATATGAAAATATATGTTGGTGGAACGGTTTAAACATAAGCTATATATTATGTTGTGATATTTTAAAAATCAACCATTTTAAATACAAAAATATTTTAAACTCATAAACATACCAAGTATTTCATTGTAGTCATGTATTTCTTAATTTCCATCATGTTTCTAAAGTAATTGCAAGAAAGGGTATATGGCTTATATGTATATATTTCCATATTTAAAGTAACGTATATATAGATGTAGTGTCTATGTAATGGTTATATGCATTTGAAATCTAATAAATACATATGACAGTGGCTTCGCTGCATACCCATCCATCACACTCTGGATTCATAACAGTCGTCTGTCTGCAAATGTCCCGTGGACGTTTATAACAGATGCGTTTGCTATACGTTATCATACATATATATTATACCTATATATATGTATGATATATATGTATGATAACGTATATTCTTAGTACATTTGTGAACAGCCTGTATAATACCCAAGCTTAACCTAAATATATACTATGAAGGGTTTTGTAAGTTTTCTTATTTTCTATATATATAAAAATGGATTGCTGTTCCTTAGTCTCGCTAAAACTCGAGAATGGCTGAACCGATTTGGCTAATATTAGTCTTGAAATACTCCTGGAAGTCCGGGGAAGGTATAAAAGGTGAGAAAAAATGGAATAATTGCCGGGAAAATCCAAAAACAGTCTTTTTCTATTTCCCATACAAACGAGTTTTTGACATTAGACTTGACAACTAACTAATATGTCAATCATTCTGTTCGATTGAAACAGTAGAAATTTAATAAATACCAATACCGGGTTATTGAAGACGGAATAGAGTTTGCCCGGTCAGCTATACCTATATTACTAATGACGAAATTAACGCGGACGAAGTCGCGGGCAAAAACTAGTACGTAATATATTGGTGATGAAGGAATATAAGTACGTATATGCTTCCAACATTACGCGAGCCTCCATTAAACTGATCCTTCACCAGCCACGCCCTACAGAGGGCGATGACGTTATTCGAACACGATATATCGTCCTATAGGGTAATATTGTGTCAGGACGTACTGATAGCTGGGGTCTTTAAGCAAAAAATAAGGTCACTCGTTCACAAGACAGATGTTAGATAAATGTATTGTAAGTTAGATAAGGGCTTGTATGCTCTGGTGTAGTAACGCGGATGTAATTATCGTATCGACGAACTTGTGCTGGATTCTGGGACAGTGGCCATTACATTATTCAGAGGACAGCCAAACTTAGATTGAAGCGGCGACGATGCCGCGTGCTTAAACTATCTCTCCGCTCACTTAGACGAAGATTTATAGCGACCTTCCGTTGAATACAGAATGCTTTCTTATTTTAAACTTTACTAAAGTTAATTTATCAAAAAAATTAAAGAAATGAAATTTTTAAAATAATAATGACTGTAAATGTTCATCATAGATATTTAATCAAAAAGTAATATATTTTTTATTCTAAGCTAAATTATTGTGAATAAGTTTGTGGGAATGACATCAACTTGAATAAATATTTTTTTAACATATAACGAATTGAACACAACTCTTATCTAAGGAATAAAAATAAATTAGAGGAAAAAACACATATGACAAGCGATAAGACGTAAAGCGGGAAAATAAATATTAATTTTAGCAAAATATTTCAATTGATACCGGATGTACAAGATGACACATATGAAACAATATCCTCCACAATACAACGCTATCATGGGAAGCCTTATCGCGTCGGAAGTGTGGGCGGCTTCCGTCGGCGCGTGCGCAGGCCATCCAACACCTGCCGCAGAGTATCATGTGACTTGATATATGATACGCTGTAAAATATACACAACCTGACTGCAATCGACACTATGTCGATCAATATCTTAACACCCTACCAGGCTATAATATTTCTTTAGAATCGCTCATTCTAGTAAATTTCTTTTCATGTTAATGAGATCTAAGATTTTCGCGAGTACTCATTTAAATGAAAGTAATATTTTAAGAGTTTACTTCGCGTTTTTTATTTTTGATTACGAACTACATACTCCCGAAGTTTCGGCTACTTTTCAGCGTGATCACGGGCAGACGAGATGTGAGTGTCTGTCAGTTGGTCTGGTTATTTTATCTCCTACCGCCATCGATTTCTTAATTTTCTTGCGTACCGCTCTGTTCTTTTCATGTTTCTTTGCCACCTCGAAGTAGCCAGACTCAAAAACAAAACATTCCAAATTATTAAAAGTAAAAGATAAACTGTATAACACAAACGCTGAAACCTAACAATTTCTTTAATTACCAAATCACGAGAAAATTCGCACCCTCAAACCCTCACACAATAAGGAAATGGAAGAAGCCTATGAAAAAGCAAATTAAGTTAATTGTGATGTAAACGAGGGTAGGCAGGCTGTAGTTGGAATTGGAAACAGAACGTGGCGCTGCCAGCCGCTCCCTTCCAACTAGTTGAGCGTACTATAAAAATATATTTATCGCATCAAGTTCCGAGCAATATTGTCAGTTTTACGACTATTTCATTAGTAGAGCAAGTGCTCCAATTAATTTCAGGTTCTTAAAATATAATAAAATAGCTATTCTTACATCAATAACAAACCTATTACTGCTAAATTAATTCCATCATGACGTTACTTAATACATATGATCTAAAGGCTTTTAATATAGAACTTAGTCTTTATATAATTTAATTACTAGCTAAAAGAAAGAGCATTACAATTTTTTTTAATCGTAAAAGTGAATTAAAATTTTTATATACTTATTACGATTATATTATAAAATGTTCATTTTTCTTTTATCTTGTAGTGGAGAAATAACAAAAGATTAAGGTGAAAGCTATTATTTCTTAATAGTAAGTTATCCATATATATGTATATATATTGTTTATGGTGTGCCGCACTAGTGAAACAGCGGCGAGTAAGACGTCGAATCGATTTACAAGCAATGTTTTACATCGTTCTATTTTTAACGGCACACCGGTCGGCCGATAACGTTGCCACAGATTTATGCAACCGTTTTAGCCTAAATTGAAAACAAGTTAGAAATAACTGCTCTCTTCGTTATGTTTAAACAGACTAGGCAACAGTTGCTACGTAAGATTTTTAAACAATCTATTATATGACGATATTTATTGGTCGAATAAAACAAGAAAGAAGAACGGATAAATGAATAAATGAATAATAATGAAGATGAAGAAAGAAGAGCTCGGTGCCAGTGACTCACTCAACCTGGGTGTGATGTGTGCACTCTGTGCTCGGCCCATCACAACCTCCTTGAGTGAGCGACTGTGGCTGAGGTTTGACCACATGAAGAATACAAACTAAATACATATATAATACACATTTATACATACTAAATACTATATAACGGAACGGAACGGAAAATAAAACGGAACGGAAAATATAACATTGAGATAAAAACCGTTTGAAGTTACGAAATATATTGTAAGGAAATAAATACTGTAGGAACCAATATATTAGATTTCATTAAGTTACCATTTATATGAATAGTTTCAATCCTATCAGTCAGACGTAGTGATAAATTATAATATGGTACGTTCTTGTCGTGAATCATTTACAATAAAGCTCAGTTAGCTACAGTTTACGCGAGGAAATATTGATGGAAAAACTATTAGGTGTGCTGTAAAAATAGCTCGTGGAACGAACAGAAAGCAGGCGAGAATCTTCAACGTGATTTATACGATATTGGCTACCAATTTAGTGGCTTACACTACTGTTACTCATATAGCATTATGGTTAAAGAACACGTTGCTATTGTGATGTAAGTTTCCATTGCTCTCTACTTTAAATATAAAAATATATACAAATTAGTTTAATATATTATATTCAGATTTTTGGTAAATGCATATGTATGTCTTTCACTTAAAACATGTGAATTATAACAATATAATTTTATAAGAATTTATAGTAAAATTAATTTCATACCACGATCAAATGAATTGAAAATTAAGTGACGATTCTTACAATAAACATTTCTTACTAACACTTATACCAAATCAAGATCTTATTAAAATTCTAAGTTTTGATTACAGTCCAAAAAAAATTAAAAATTATAATATATGTTTACTATAATATGATAAACATATATGTCAATTCATAGCACACGCCACACATTGTTAGTTTCAAAATGAATCCGCAGCGAAAACATCCGTCGAAGATAGTCTTCCGTTCAATCTCACCTTAAACAGGAAATTAAACATCTTATACAATAGTTCATAATATTATTTACATGTACATACTGTTCCTGTTTTAATATATGATTACTGACAGACTCGAGCATTTGTCTTAGTGTTATAAATAACAATGTTTGTTAAATGTATCTATTGATGGGACTTTACCTGTAAAATATAACTCTTGGGGCTATATAAGGAGATGAATGTACCGATTTAAGTTATAACACGAAAAATAATCTAAGTTTCATTCAAAGACACTAAATTTTTATAACAAATATCATCCAAATTGATTTCGACTGAAACACACAAAGAAAAAGATCTTCTCGAATGTACAATATTGATATAAATTCTTTGATTTAAACTTTGCAGAGCTAGACAAGGCTGTAGGAAATAACTAGTGTCATGTGAAAATAGGTTCTTCACATAGAATTAATACTTCTTTCTGGTATATTGAGTATATTAACCTATGTGCAATGATTTTGAGGGTAAGTAGGCAGTACTTAATTCTTCATATAGTTTATGTATATATGTACATACATATGAACATAATACCATATATGTATTTCGAACATAAATGGAAGCTTATATTTTTCACGCCAGTTTCATAATCAGAGCAACAGAAAAATTAAAGCTGGAAAATGTTCGTATAAAATAAAATCATGAATATTACAACTATAATACTGGAAAATTATAATATCATGAAAGGTCAGAGATTACCGAAACATCGCATTAGACGAGATTATGAAATAAATAATGTTATTACCACAGACCGCATCCCAACACACAAATTGTGTTATAATAAAGCAGTCCTTATTACTATAGTAATAGAGACTATAATGTTTGAATAACATAGTTAATTATCAAATGCACGTCGGTTAAGTCGGCATTATCTCCGTGTTACACCTGGTCGCATTGATTTGTATTTGCAATGCATTTCACAGTCAGTCAACGTCTCACTATGTTGATTGTCTTCGTGACACAACATTAGACTAAATGTATTTAGTTAGTGGATTATTTCACTTGATTGTATCTACGTAAATAGCCATACAGATACGTGTTTAAATAAAACCTTTATATATACGATATCTGAGGCTGTCATAATCTGAGTATTGCTCAAGTTCCCATGCTGTCTCAAGACTATGTATGTTGTGCTACGAATAGCTCAGCTTATACTACGAATTGGCAACTAGTATATTCGTAGCAAGTGCCAACAGGCCTACGCAGCTTAACAGATAACACTCCGCGTGCTACGACGTAGCCATCAGATTTAACAGACCAGTGCTTAGCCAAAAAAAAAACTCAATTATATTTACATTTATGATATATTATATACGTATATTACTTCGAACTTACATACAATAATAATGAATATTAAAAATATAAATTAAAAAATTTCGCTACGAATAGTCCACTGACAACAGTCCGTGGCTATAGTCCAGTTATGACAGTATAACAGTAATTTGGCAGCGTGACATTGTGTCGTGGCAAAACAGATATTGTCAGCCGACGTGTGTTACTGGAATTGTTTTATTATCTACGCCGATGTCCCTATATTAGTTACAGTCCGACCAATTTGAATACAAGCTACGTGTTTAGATACTATATGTATTTTATATAAAAAATAAAACTATTCTATGAATTTTATATAGAACGACGAAATATGAAACGAGTTTTTAAGATTTCATACAAATTAATAAAATATATTTTTTATATAAAATAAATATGTTTTCTCAAAATTTTAACACTATTATTAAATTTTATTTTGTATATTTATTATTTTGATATATTTTTTGAAATAATCACGATTAAAATTAAATATTCAAAGACCGAAAAATCTAAGTACGAAAAAAATCAAATTTACGTAATTTAACTAATAAATAACATAATATAGATGTGAAATAACTCAGAGCAACAGAATTATTTGTTAAATATTATGTCTTATATTAGAAAGTGTTCAGTGAATTCTAACAAAGGCATTCTGTGAGATTCAGAATAACGAATAGTTTCCACTGTGATGTCACTTTTGTTTTTTTGTCATAAACTTTAATGGAACCTGGACTTAATTGTCAATTTTAATCAAAATTTCGATCTTTAGCGGCAATCTATCATCGAGTTGACTGTCTGTCTGTTAAGAGATATGTCATGATAGTCAGTTTTTCATTGAGTTTTTTACCAGTTATGAAGTTATAGTTTAAAATTATTCATTTTAAGCTTATCATGTATATATTAGATTGCTTTATACTAAAAAAAAAGGATAATTTTAACCAGAACCGGTCTTTTTAGAGATCTGATAAATAGTGTTTTATTTTAAAATACATATGATACGAGTAGTATAGAAAAAAAATATGCTGATTTAGATTATGTCTCACTGAGGGAAATAGTAAACATACAAAGACATTATAACATTTTTATTAAAATCATTTTACATATTTCGAAAACCAATGAAACATTTACAATTTGTTATTTTAATTTTTCAAAGACTTTTTTCATTGTTCTTAAAGCCAACTCTATCTCCCAATAGTTAGCTAAATGGCTATAAATAAATATAAAAAAAGGTTTTATATATAACTATTTAAAACCCTCTACTCACATAGTAAATAAAACCGAATACTATAAAGCCATCGATTAAATAGTAACTGGTACATAACATATTGAACTTCTTGATACAACTTCTAATATTTTTTATTCAAACGATAGTAAGCACGGACAGAATGCCATCGAACAACTCCGACTTAACTCTCAGTTCAATATATTTTATGTCACTGATACCCATTATTTAACCGAGGTTCATCAAATTTAAGTTTGTCACGCGACGCTATTGGTTCGCAATTAATCAAGTTTAGAGTCAGGTGAAGTCAGATAAGAGTTACTGTTAATTGTTAAACTTTGATACTCTTACTTTCGTTGCGATTATATTCGTAACTAGTAACTGTACTAATGAATGAATCCGATTATTTACATCAAGTGAATGAGAGGTGTTTTCACCGAGAACTATAAAATCACTCCAACGTACAAATCTACTCTCCAGATTAAACAAAAAGGGCGTGAAGATGTGAATTCAGTATCGAAGGAAAGCTAAGAGCAATTTCAAGTAGATATATCTCCTGCTAGGTGTTTGGTTTACTGCGAACATCTGCACGGGTTGAGTTGTTTACCATGCAGTGGTCTCAAGACAATTTATTTGAAAGGTGTCGTGCAATACACTCCTTTACACAACACAAATAAACCCGTATAAATCACTTCACCTTAGGATATGAAGTTCAAGACGATTGAATATAAACTTAATACCATCCATAAAATCATTTACAAATGAGTCGTTTATTAAATGTTAATATTGTTGTTTGATTTCTCAATTAATTGATATGAGAATATAAACTCAAATAATCATAACTGTACAGTCATCGTACCGTTTACTCGTTGAATATTTTTATATAATTACATAATGAAAATATCTTTCCGAACAGAGGTCATACTGTAAACTGGTTGATTGATATATAATACTCTATTAGTATCAAAGTTTTTAGTTAAAAGGTATGTTTTAGATATGTATAAGATTAACATTTATATTAAATAATAAAAAAAATATAAAGTTTTTTTTTGAGAAATAATAATAAAGCAAGTAAATAGTCGTCTTGTGATCACGGTTACTGGGCAGTGGACATGTCAAGTAAAATGTATTCTTGTATAAATGTAAATATATTTTTTTAAGCTCCCATATAGGCTTTCAATCATCATAGTACTCGTAACGTGTGATCCAAACGGTTATCCTTGACTGGTGAGCGACTGTCCCTGTTATTACAAACGGTGCAATCTGGATCTCGTTAGCACCAGCGACGGTGAGAACACGTTGAAATAGAAAACGCCGGTGATTAATTGCCAATTACTCGGACTGCAGAGTAATCCACGCGCCCGATCATCGCTCTGTTCATTACCACACTTTTTATGGAATATATAGACTCAGTGTTCTAAAGGACATTATTTTATAACATACGATTAATCGACACTACGAAGAATACAAAAAAAATCATAAATTAATTATGTCGAAAGCAGTAAAGAAAAATTTAAAACGTATTAAAATATCACTTACATAAAAGCAACAAAAA